AAGTTGACAAGTCCCATATGCCACCTTTACCCTTCAAAACCGGAACGCAATAATCCCTAGATTACTGATTGTCGGCAAAAATAGGCAAGCTGGCAATATTACTAAAACGTATTAATATAGTAAGACAAGTATGGTGACTCTCGTTTTCGCAGTACATAGCGTTGATCGTCCAGGCACCTTTCATTATTATTATAGTCTAAAGGTTATTAACTAACAGTAAACAAGCTTCAACTGTCACTTAGTTAACCGGACAAATTCAATATTTAGTAGTGAGTTTGTTACGTCGTTGTGTACGTGTTATTGGCTGCCATCTTTTTAAAGGTTGACTTTTAGGTTGTTTAACGTAGGAAAGTTGTGATAACATTTTTAAGAAAATATCATATTTATATAATATTTAGTACTATTTTAAATGATGACCTATTTGAAGCGATGACTTACGGCTCTGAGACGTGGTCGCTTACAATGGACCTCATAAAATAGCTCAAAATCTCTCGACGAGCTATGGAGCGAGCAATGCTCGGCATTTCTCTACGTGATCGAATCAAAAATTAGGAGATCCGTAGAAGAACGAAGGTTCTCGAATGCAGAACACGCACCGGAAGACCTTCAGTGGGATGACCCCCTAAACAGATGACCTGGTAAGGCGGCAGGTAACCGATGGATGCACGCCGCGTCCGACTGGCTAGTCTGGAATCTTTAGGGGAGGCCTATGTTCAGCAATGGATGTCTTCTGCCTGATATGATGATGACGACTATTTTAAATAGGTAGTTCGAAATTTTGTATGTTACCTGAAAACATTATCATATATTTAGAACCATTTCAAATTAAAATTTCAAATGTTGTATTCACACAAATGTTGTTAAATATAGATCTTAAATTAGTACATACAGTATCAAACATAAACCCTGTAAGGGCACAGCAGTGTATACAAACGTATACACTGCTACGACGTACAGTACATTCGAAATATATCCAAAGTTCTATTTTCAAAAAGCTAATTATATTTTTACAATAACTAACCAGGTAATGCGTCATAAAATATTTCATTACGGTTTGTTTACGTTTACTTAAATACATAAACCGTTGTAGTATATGTTTGGGACTCTAAGTGTCGTATTCTACAACTCTACTCAATGCTCAAGTCAGGATTTGAGTATGTTTAAAGCACTCGAAATCATACTCAATTCCCTGCCATTAGGGTCGTATTTCCAGTGCTTGTGTTTCAATTGCAATCCTGACTTGAGCATTGAGTTGAGTTCTAGAATACGACCCTTAAACTGAACTTCGCGTGTGACGAAGTTCAGTTTTAGAATCTGTTTGGAGTTACCGTACTTCTCTATGATACGGCTATGGCGCATGCTGACTTCGTCCTTGAACGTTATAACTTGAACGTTTTCAATGTGCATGCTCCATCGTTCATCATCAGATGAGATTTAAGGCAAATACGCACTTAATATTAAATTTAAATTATAATTTTTTTATAAAAAAAATCTCAATCAAGTTCATGGGATCACATCTATTTGCCAAGTTGTATTGAAATCCGTTACCGGATAGTGCACGAAACCGGATTCATTCTCTACTTTAAATGAGACTAATACTGAGGTACCCTCATTCAAATAAAAAAGAATAATCAAAATCAGTTCACAAATAATCGCGTAACTTATAAAAAGTACAGTCGAATTGAGAACCTCCTTTTTCAAGTCGATTAAAAAGCCTTTGGAATTAATGGGTAAAATCGCCCCCTAAATTATCGTAAACTGAAATGTCAACCTATATAAATGGTTTTTCTGCGCATCTTCACAAACCACTTAAATACTCGTCATACAGGGAAACAATAATTTTATAGTGACGCGCCTCCAATTCTGCAAAACCATTTACGAATACAGTTGGATACATTTATAAATAATGTATAGAACGTATGTATTTGTATATTAAATGAGAACAAGAAACTGCATGAGTAAGTTGGTAGACTCAGGAATTACCACGGTAATAGCAAAAACGTCGCTATAAAAAATGAGATTTTCGTTTTTTCTACTTCTTTTTTGCATATTTACGTTATTGAACTTTTAATGGTTTGTTTCATTGTTTTCGTACCAACGTAGTTCTTGCTATACAGGCCGTTATACGACTTAATAGACTTAGGTACGATCTTCTCATCTGCGCATCATTTTAATAGTTCTTAAAGCGGGAAACACACAGAAAGCGACTCGGACGCGTTGTCGTCCGTCCCACCTACCTTTATAACTATCCTATTTATGTAGAAAAAGATGTCGAGTAATTTAAATAATGATAATGTGCCAGACAAGAACACTAATTGCCTGGTACCTATCAAACTAGGAAATTCCATTTACTATGAATACCAGAGCAACGGATTTCATTCGGGGGCACTTCCCAAGACACCCAGAAGCGAACGAATTTAGACAAGTTAATTTCCTAAATTTGTCCTACCAGGAATCGAACCCGGGCCCTCATCCGGAGTCCAAAGTGCCAACCGATGGCCCACAGAGGTCGTCGAAATTTCGTTCATGGCATCTTTAAACCTGTCTTCAAACAGCTGTCATTTTAAAGATGTGGCCTTTTCACACCAAGTTTTATTGAATGGCATGCATTTCTATTGAGTCACTTTCCTGAATAACTGTTACTACAAGCTATGAATCGTGTCAAATTCGTTCTAACAAAGAGGGACATTTATATGTCGGAGACAAGGCCGGAAAGGGAGACTTCGAAGGGAACACCCTCGACGCAGATTTAGTCAGGAATTATTTGATAATCGGCTTATACATTCTTCGTTATCAATTTGTTCAGCCGGCGGTGAAATAGAAATGTCAAATAATGCAATTAGTTGTTTTATGCACTTTTCACAGTAATTAGTCCGAAAGTATGAGAAATGGATGAGGTTAAAACGGATTCTAAATATCACGCGGCAAGTTCAGAGAGAGCGGGGCGGTTCGTCTTCACTGTTCAAACAACTTACACAAAAAGCCCCCTCTCTCCGTCAATACCCAGTTTGAGATGTCACACTGACGTGACATTTGTAATCAAAGAAACCTTGATCAAGACTAGTTAAAATAATTCGTAGGTAGCCTAGTAAATCGTTTATCTAGTGATATTTTTCAAGTGATAGCTTGTGCCGACATATGTATATATATTACTGGAGGATGCTCGTTTTTAAAAGCTAAGTAGCATCTTATGTCCTTAAAAGAATCAATTTCACAATTGCATATTTTGTTCTCTATAAATTTAAATAGTCTTTTGCTTAAATAATGAATAAAATTAAAACTAAAATGGTACTTCAGTTAAAGACACCACTGTCACACAATATTCAAAGTGAGAGACAATGGTAACGCTACATGTAATCGAGATGAAGGTAGCCGCCGACAGCGAAAGAGGGTAAACAGATATGTCTGTTCTTAAAGTTGTCTGCCGCTGGCCAGTCAACCCGTGATCATAAAGTGTGTAACCGTTCCGAAATATCGGAAAACAGATAATAACTCATACCGCGGTACGAAACCTATAATTAGCGATAATCGTTTAGTAAATAACCACGAAAGCCTTAAAAACTATAGTATCCATATTTTTTACATAATATCAAGTGACGAAACGAACAAGTCGTGAGCCTGGTAGTAAGCGACACGCCTGTCCATAGCAGTTGCAGTACAACTCAGATCTTTAAATCGCAAAAATCTGAGGGTATTGCCACTGCGCCTGTCATCCTGAGACGTAACTTGACATGTCCCATGTGCCAGTTATTGCGCGCCAGCTGCCTTTATTGCCATAGGACACTGGATCACTGTACAATACGTTTATTCCGACACCTAGAGAGAAGAGAGAGAGTGTTGCCACACGACAATTGTTACTTATACAGTTAACATTGTAATAAAACTATTGAAAATTCCCAACAGTTGTTTCATATACATATATATATATATATATATGAAATAATCTATATAACGCTCACATTACTGCTTAACGGCAGAAATAGTAAGGTCGCAATAATACCTTCTTTAGTTGTACTACTGCTAAAAATCATACAAATAAGTATTCTGATAATTTTCATAAAATTTCCGACTTACACGTGGAACACCTTATCATGGGTTATTGATTTTTATCAATAGTTTCTAGATTTGATTAATTTTCATTCTGTATTGTAGAGATAACAATCCAACTTTAACTTGATACATAGTTACCTATGCAGTTAACAATAACACTTCTTTACTCTTATCTTCATCAACGTCAAAAGTTAAAATACTAAATAGTTCAAACGTTAATAAGGCCTGATTTCCAACAGTACGTTCTATCAGATATACTCTAATAAGGCCTTATTCCAGATTATATTTCAAATAGAAAGGAATGAACATACGGATAACAATTTTTAGATTTAAATTACTTCAACAGTAATGATAAATTTGTTTGAAGTTGTCTCTTAACGCACATTGTATGAAAATGGCTTCAATGGTTTAATCCAAGGAGTAATCAGAGATCAATATATTCCATATTTTATTATTTGATGCAAAATAGAATAGGTTTCACTTCTGAAGAAAACCATAATTCTAAAATCAAATTTTAGAATATAATGGAAAATAGTCAAGGAAGCATACAGAAAGAAGAAGAAGAAGGAAAGGAAGTGCATAAACGTTAGATATAGAAAGCAATAAAATTTACTATAGCTTTGGAAGTATCTAAAGAGTTCTTAGGTTTTCGCGATTGTTACACATAGGAATGAAACTATTTTTCCGGATTTAAATCGCGTATATTTGTTTTTTCAAACAAACCGACGTTTCGGGCCCTTTACAGGTCCCATGGTCACGGTTGACTGAGGTGGTACCATAGTGGTGGTAACCGTGGGCCCGAAACGTCGGTTTGTTTAAAAAAACAAATATACGCGATTTAAATCCGGAAAAATAGTTTCATTCCTAAGTCTCTAAAGAAATCGATGAATTTTTTATCGTTTTTATATAGGCAACTCTTTAAATTTTAAACAGCTTCTAATTGTTCACAGAATCCAGCACCTCAAAGGATCAACCTATTATCATCAACACGCGAACTGTTATCTATAAATTGGTAAGTATTCCTTTTTCTCAAATAACTAACCATATTTTACCAGACCTTGAGAAGTTTGGGGCCAAACAAACAATCAAAAGTCAAAGTCGTTCAATTCGATATTTTTGTAATACACTGTATAATGGCTTTTGTGTTTTTCTTTTGAACATAAAACAATTTTTTTGGCTCTAAATCGAATATATGTGTTTTTAAGAAACAAGAATTCAAGCTCTTCTTACAGGTCTCGTAATCTGGCTGTCCCTGTTAACCCCTTGGTTATACGGGAAGGGCTATATAACCTGTGCAAGCACAGGGACCTTTTAAGTTCAGGTTCTGACCCCAGATCAGCCCATGGACAGAGTTGTCACAGACCGTTGTCACGGACGTCATCCGGTTTTCAAAAGGCTAGTGCCTCGGGTGAACATTAATACGAACAGATCTTTTACATAAGTTTTGTTCATAGTGACCCTCCCTACCAACTCTTGGTTATGCGGGAATGGCACCATAACCCGTGCGAGCAAACCCACATAGGGACCTTCTCAACCAGGTCGTGACCCCAGATTAACCCCTTTGCACGGACTTCATCTGGTTCTCAAAACGCTAGAGCCTTGGATGAACTACCCCAGGTACACGTACAGCCTCCTCAATATTTTCCAGATAGGCACCGGGAGTGTAGGCACGCTCACATTAAAACGAACAAGACAACGCAAGTTTTGCTTTCTGCATCTTAAGATTACATTTCTTTAAAAAAATGAAAAAGAAGATATGGCTAGCAGCGCCGGCGGGTGTCGAACTACACCACATGCACTTTAACAAAATGTAATATAACATAGAACATAATTCTGCTGCCTGGCTGCGGTAATTTAAGACGACCTTATATGATGTGTCACAAATCAATAATATAAATTAAAACTTTTTAATATCGAGTTCTTAGGTTTTCGCGATTGTTGCACATAGGAAATGAAACTATTTTTCCGGATTTAAATCGCGTATATTTGTTTTTTCAAAGAAAGCGACGTTTCGAAAAAATAAAAGAGGAAAAGAGGAAAAAGGAAAAGGGGAAAAGAGGAAAAAATAAGGTGGTTTGCATCAATGTTAGACATAACTGGTGGAAGACTGTACCACCTCAGTCTATCGTGACCATGGGACCTGTAAAGGGCCCGAAACGGTCGGTTTGTTTAAAAAAACAAATATACGCGATTTAAATCCGGAAAAATAGTTTCATTTCCTATAAAACTTTTTAAATTTATCATTGTTCCATTGTTCCTTTACAAACTAACTTTTAATTTCCAGAACCCAGTCTACAACTAAGACCGCGCGATGTGGTTCAGTATCTTCTTCTACATAGTCTACTATAGCGTCTATACCATCCTTCTAGCAGTTGCTGGTCTCTGGTGCTTTGAAGAGTGTGCACTTACTGAAGAGGAGGAATACGAGTTGTACAGCCAGTATCGTTCCTCACTCGCCTTGTAAGTAGATATATTTCATTTTATTATGTTAATTAGGTCATTATTTCGCGTTTCCTATTACCGAACTAAAATTGACAAAGCACTAAAAGCCCTATATACAGTTGGCGGTACATCAGATTACCAAGCCATAACCGATCGCACTTAAAATTTGTTTTAATAGTGTTTTCACAGTTTGGCGGCGTAATTTTCGTGCTGCACTGCCTCATGCATGTGTGCGTAAGGCGTCTCGTGTATGGATAGTGTAGTGGTAAAGTAGTGTGCGGTAATAACAAAAGCCGCGAGACCGGGAGTAGAGAGACTGCTCGTTCATATCTCCATTATTAATGCTTAAGTGCAATTTTGTTTTCGTTTATATTACGTATTTTATTACTCTTTAGATTTATCTGTGAGATTGCCCTTGTTTATATTTACTTATTCATTATTTTATTTAAACATACAAAGTATAAAAGTTTATATCGAGTTCTTAGGTTTTCGCGATTGTTACACATAGGAAATGAAACTATTTTTCCGGATTTAAATCCCTTTACAGGTCCCATGGTCACGGTTGACCATGGGACCTGTAAAGGGCCCGAAACGTCGGTTTGTTTGAAAAAACAAATATACGCGATTTAAATCCGGAGAAATAGTTTCATTTCCTATGTATAAAAGTTTATTTACCTACCCTACCACAAAGTTTCTTCGTGTAATTTATTGAATCTTAAAAGTTATCAAAAAGTGAGAGCAGGGTGCCTACTTTATACTTATAGGGAAGTAGTTATATTCTATGGCAGTTCAATTGCTAAATACATTTTTTCATAATATTGGTAACTTTCAGTCATACTTTACAAATTGTCGAAATACATGGCTTGAAACTATCATCGAAATGATTGTAGTGAGTTTGCAATTGGATAACAGAACTCATGTTACATTTTTAAATTGTAATTAATTTGCGATTAACTTGAATTTGCCGCTATTTAAGTTACTTTCTTACTTAATCGACAGCAAGTCAATAAAATTAAAAAAAAAACTAAAAAAGTTAGTCACAGACACTGACTTACAATTATATGGACGTCGGGTCCGCGCTAAAAAGTGTCCGAACTTATAGGGCGTTAAAATCGTATACAGAGCGTCATTCACGCTCTAGTCTTCGTTTGTTCGACTGACAGCGAAGCAAGCAAAATTAGACAGTACTGCGATGACATTATAATTTAAATTCAACGTTTTAGCTTTTTCATATTCCTTGACATGTCACTACGTTTAAATAGGTTGACTTGGGACTTTTTTTCGTGGTTTTTGTATTAGACCCGTCGTACATTTATTTGTAAGTCAATGGTCACAGAGCAACTTTTTTGAATTGCTTATTTTGACTCCATATATGGTAAATGACGCGTCACTACGATTTTACTATGAGAAAAAAGGTAAACGACTTTTAAATCATAAACGTGAACTGCGTGAAATATACCTTGTTTTTGTGAGGTCATTATGAATTTGATAGGCAATTCAACTTACGGAATAGTATCCCTGGTAAAAATTTTTAAATGTATTTTATTTATAATTTTTACGGTTACCACTGAAGGAATGCAACATTTGCACTGTTGACATTACACCAGAAATTATAAATCCTAGATGGACTATTCAGATACCAAAAATATGAAAGATTCTCAGTAACAGAAATTAATTTAAAAAAATTAAAATCATGATTACCTTTACTATTCATCCGTGTTCAAAGAGGCTTTCGATTATAAAGACAAAATTGTAGAATTAAATTCTCTAAATAAATCTGATGAAGGACAGCCTTACCTTCCAACTTATTTATCTTGCGCGTATTTTACAAATTTCCCAACATTGATTTGGTTTAATTAATTGAAGTGCTGTATGTAACATATAAGGCATTGATTGCAATCGTGTGGCTTCAGTCCCTAACCATAAACCCTGGTAAGGTATTGCAACATCATAAACATTACTAAATACAGCGTTTTGTCTATTTCTATGAAAATGAACCTTATAGCACCCTATATACCTACCACATGATGTATGATATCGGTGTAAAATTATGATTTATGTTAAATCAAAAGCATATTCATTATCAAGTATTAAAGAAAAAAACGTTTTATATTTCGTAATTTAAATGTATAATTATGTTCTAGTCATAGATATAACTGGTCAATACTAATGTAGTTTTAATAAATGTTTATCAAAAGTAACAATGCCACTAAAAGAAAAAAAAACTGTTTTTCGTTTAACACTGCGTAAATGATTTGAACCGCTTATTCCCAGCGCTCACCGCTGGCGTTGTTCCCACAGTGTTAATGGCTTTATTGAGATGACCCATGCCTAGCAGTGGCGTCTAATTATTCAGACGAGAGCATAGGCACAAATCTGAAAAGTTTCATCACAAACAGAAATGACAACATGGCCTTAATCCTCTCTTTCGAGGTGACCTATGCCCAGCAGTGGGCATAGGTCAAACATGTTTATTGCTCCTTTAGGTACAGAAAAACCCACATCCTCTCCAATGGAAGAGGATATGAGTTATGTTTTTCTGTGTTCATGAGTGCGATATGCCCTTAACTTTTCCATTTCTTATGAGTTGTGCATACGGTTACAAACGTCTGAAGAATTAGACCCTACTGATTGGCATGGATCACCTCAATGGAGAGAGTTACATCATCTTATGCAAAATTAAATGGAAAACAATTTTGTCATTCAGTGGCATTGTAACGCATGTTATGTACACATGGTAATTAATTAATTGTTACGGAATTAAAAAATATATATATGTTATAAGTAATTGTTATGTTTATACTTGACAAGTACTTATTAAAATTGTGTTATAAGGAAAATAATGAGAATGGGAAGAAAAAGGTATGTGACTCAACACATGTCACAATTTTTTGTATTACCAATTATATGCACTTCAATTAATTTGGTAAAATTTTGTGTCGATTTTTAACAAAGTTGTTAATTCAAGAAAAACATGTCTAATTAAATAAAATAAATATAAAATGCTCTTTCTTTAATTACTTAATAAATATGCTTCTAATTCAACTTAAGTAGAAGTTTTATACCAAAATGTTACAATGTGTGATCACCCTATAACGTTCTTATTCATAGAAATATGCAAAATGCTGTATGTATCAATTTTTTTTAAAGGTATATCTTTATATAATCTGTAAATGTAAACCATTAATACACTGGCATTTAATATAAATTTTTACTATATATTGATAGTAACTGGCTTTTGTAGATATTATAATTTTAGTTCTACAAATATTTTTTTTATTTTTAATGTGTGTGGATTTGAGAGGCCACAATTAAATATGAATTGTTCAAAAGTGTGTTAAAGTCTGTTCTGTATTGTTTACTTTATAAAATCGTTATATATTTAACTAAAATTTGACAAAAATAGAATTATTTTATTTATCGTTTCAATGGTTTGCACTATTTTAAGAAAATAAATTTCATAATATGCGAACTGCGGGGTCACCTAAAAACCTGACCTGTTATTTTATATACCAAATATTCATATGCACACGTCTAAACTTAATAGTTTCCAGATTAGGTGTGTCCTTGGTTAGGTCTGTGGCCATACATTTGTCTAAGTGTAACTTTTTGCTTAATTTATTAAAAATCCACAACAGTTTCTATAATTGTTTTACAATTATTACAACTAAAATTTGGTATAATGCATTCCCAAATTCTCGATCTGGTATGCGGTGTGTTGAGTTAGACTGAAATTCTTCATAACCGTAACAATAGTATCGTTCCAATTTCATTCCGTTCCATGATTAATTAGCACGTGTATTTTTAAAACTAATTTTCGAAAAGTTTCATTGTTGTTTTTTTGCCAAATTGCCATTTTGTTTACAATAATGAAAAACACTATATACTAAATAGTACTATATATATTATACCTACCTGTTATATGATTAGTTTCAGTCTTAGAGTATCAGTTCTTACATACATACATATAATTCCAAATAAACAACAATTTTGTTTGGAGTTTGGAAACTATTTTATGTAATAACTGAAACATGACGAAAATAATATACCAAAATAGCATTCTCACGTAGGTATTTAAACAAACGCAAAAATCGTTACAAAGATTGTTACTTGACACATTTTATTTACGGAAGCAAAAAGCTCAAAAACAGGTGGTTTCTTGGTGAATAGAAAAAAAGACAAATAATAAACTGAAGTTAGACAATGACATCTATATTTAAGTATAAGTACTTCGTCTTACATATAAATTTGAATAAATTAAATAATTTGCGTCACACATCAATTTATTACCTAACATTAACTAAAAAGTTGACATCAGTACCTACCTGTTAAGATTAGATAAATTGATTTTATTACAACTTAATCTGACAAAAATAAAACATATGTATATAAATTATATATTTTTTTATATAAAATAAACCGACCTCAAGTGTTTGTGGAATTACGTATATTCTTTTGTGCAGATCAACTCTCTAGAGGAGTAAATTCACACAAAATTAATTCAAACCTACTATAGTGGCATGGTCCTCAGGAAATGTCTAACAGTAATTACAAACAAGATGTTCTTCTTTGTGATCCTGCTGAAATTACAAATTCAGATATAACTTCTAATGTTTGTAATATTGATAATGTACTGTCTAATGTGCCAGACACCTTAGATTTAATTGAAAAGTATTCAAGAATTGATAAGCTTCAAAGAGTTACTAGTCTAGTCTGTATCCATTCATAGATGATGATAATATACTTCGTGTAGGAGGTCAGCTTCAGGCGAAAAGAAAAACAGGGCCTAAAACTGTCCCTTGGAGAACGCTGATAGCAATAGCATGTACAATCACCAGTTACATTACCAAATGCCTTTGCGAATGCCCTTAACGTGCTAAAAGCACGTAGATTCATTGACGCGTGGCATTGTGTAACGAACACGGACGTTGTTTCCTGTTCATATTACTCTACACAAGTAGGTGCGTATAACCATAATACGCATATCCGCCCAAAACGAGTGCTGAAGGTTAATGAAT